TTTGAGAATGAGGCTTTCTGAGGATCAGCCTCCAGAGGAACACAGACAGTCCATGCGAGGAGGCACACGTCATGCACTGCGTACAGCTCGCCTCAGCTTTCGGGCATTTGTGGCCTCTGAGGCCACGGCTGGGGGCCCAGGTCCACAGCTCAGAAAGCATCGCTCCCTGAGGCCCTCCAGTCCTGAAGTCTGTGGGTCCCTGGGAACAGCCAGGCCCGGGCCATGCTTGCTTTGGGGTTTTAGATCAGCGGCTATTTTTAGTGCGGCTATATATGGCCAGGGGAGTGAAGGGCTATAGGGTGTGTGTGTGTGAGTGTGTGTGTGAGTGTGTGTGTGTGTGTGTGTGTGTGTGTGTGTGGTGTGGGGTGTGTGTGTATGTGTGCGGTGTGTGTGGTGTGGTGTGTGTGTGTGTGGTGTGTGTGTGAGTGTGTGTGTGTAGTGTGTGTGTCTGTGTGTAAGTATGTGTGGTGTGTGTGTGTGTGTGTGTGTGTGTGTGTGCGGTGTGTGTGGTGTGGTGTGTGTGTGGGGGGGGTGCCAAGAAGCTTACAGCGGATCTAGGAGGCCGGAGCCCCTGTGCCTGCACCATCCTCCCCTTCCCATCGGAGAACGGGAGGGCTCCCCTCCAGCCAGACACACTTTAACACCGTGACTTTCACACTTTCTGTCCGTGACACAAAAGTAATCAATAGTGAGAAATAAAGCTGATATTATAATACACACATAAACGTAGACATTTTTACACACACACACACACACACACACACACACACACGTATATCTCCAGCTGAACAGATATTTTAGGAAACCGTACTTTATCTTATTCTGCATGAGACACGTGACATTTTCTATTCTATCCTATTCTTTCATTTAAAAAAATGCAGGTCATGACCCACTGTCTACCCGAACAGGTTGGCGCCTCCAGTTCAGAAGAGTGCTGTTTTTGTTGTTGTTGTCGTGTTTTTGTGGTTTAGAGCAATAACATGTGACTGCCAGGGAAGGTGGCGAGTGGAAGAAATAGGCACATGGTCCCTCTGATCACTACGGCTCAGAACTTCAGATGAGACGCACATTTCCGCTCCATCTCCAGCGGGACAGCAAGCTTTGGACCTCCCGGCTTTGTACCCTCTCTCTCCCCCTGGAGCCCTCGTCCTCCGCCTGGTCACAGGGCTGACCCCACACCTAGCAGCCTGGCTTGCCCCTTACTCGGGGACGCCGCCCTGAAGGCCTGTCTGGCCAGCTGCCTGCCTCTGGCCCCCTCAGTCTCCGGCGGGTACTCCGTGTAGTGTAGAGCTGGCTGGACAAAAAGCACTCACTACACATTTATTGCCGAAACCGGTGTGGCTCAGTGGAGGAGCGTCGGCCTGCAGACGAGGGGTCCCAGGTTTGATTCCGGTTAAGGGCATGTACCTTGGTTGCGGGCACATCCCTGGTGGGGGGTGTGCGGGAGGCGGCTGATACATGTTTCTCTCTCATCAATGTTTCTGGCTCTCTATCTCTCTCCCTTCCTCTCTGTAAAAAATCAATAAATTATATTTTTATAAAAAATACACATTTATTGAATGTATTAATGATAGCTAATACTAATAATGGCAACTACCATTTAATTATTTATTTGTTTGTTTATTTATTTATTTATTGTTCCTCACCAGAGGATATTTTTTCCATTGATTTGTTTTTAGAGAGAGTGGAGGGGGAAGAGAGAGAGAGAGAGAGAGAGAGAGAGAGAGAGAGAGAGAGAGAGAAACATCGATGTGAAAGAGACACATTGATTAGTTGCCTCCCACCACCCCCCGATCTTGGGCTGGGGATTGAGCCTGCAACCGAGGTATGTGTCCTTAAGCAGGAATCAAACCCGTGGACCCTTCAGTCTGCAGGCTGAGGCTCTAACCTAGGGGTGTCGAACTCAATCAGAGAAGGGGCCGAAATCTAAAATCCAGCCTAAATCGCGGGCCGAATGGTTTACTGAACAGTCATAAACTGTCATTGTGATGGAAACGCAGCGGAGTGCAGTGATGACAGCGCGGTGCGGGCCACATTGCAAGGCCTGGCGGGACGGATTTGGCCCGCGGGCCTTGTGTTGGACACATGTGCTCTAACCACTGAGAAAACCAGCCAGGGCAGCTGCTACCATTTACGGAGTGCCCGCTTATCCCATGAGCAGCCTTAGCAGAGATTAGGATAAACCCACTTTATGGACGAGGAAACGAAGGCTCTGAGAGGCTAAAGATCGCGGTGGAGCAGGATGTGTGACAGCCCAGGGCTACCCGACTCCCAGCTTCCTCACCGCAGGATCTCCATGGCCCGCATTCCGCCCGGCAATACCCTACCCAGCCCGGGGCAGAGGGCAGGTCCTCAACAAACCCTCGGGAACCGCTGACAGGTTGATTAAAGAGATTTTCCAGAGCAGCGGCCACATCTAACTTTGGAGAGCTGCACCTCGTGTGTGGCTTGGGGGAGAGGGTCTGCGAGGTCTCCAGGCTGCCGGGGAGTGGGGCTCTCTCCTCTGGGGAAAGAGGCTGGACGGTCTTCGGGTCACCTGACTGCAGCTCGGACGATACCCAGGTCCCTGCAAAGCCGCCTCCACCTGGCCCGTGCCCGCGCCTCCCGGCCGCTCCCGCCCGCTCCCCTCGGTCCCTCTGGCCCTCGCACCCTGGCGCTCAGCTGTTCCTCAGGCACCCACGCCCGGGCCCGCCTCCGGGCCCCTGCCAGGCCCTTCCCGCGGCCGGAAGTCTTCACTCTGGAACTCTCTACCCTGCTTCTCAGACCGCCCCATCCAAAGCATCACCCTCTCCCTTCTTTCTCCTCTCAAAACACTTGGAACTTCTGGCAATGATGTATGTTTGTTTTCCGGTTTGTTCCTGTCTTCATGAGACTGGAAACTTCCTGAGGACTTCGCTTGTCCCCTGCCCCGGCCCCTGGAACCCGTGAGGAATGGTGCCTGACATTAGATGATGCTCTGTGATATTGGCTGCATGGATAAATGAGTCTTCTCTCCCCTTCCCCCCCCCCCCCGGCTCCCTTTAGATATATCAGGAGATCAGCCTCTAGCTTCCCCCAGATCTGTGTCCCTCTGGCGCACACACGCCTCGGTCTGAGAGGGGGAGAGAAGGAGCATTGGCCCCCGTGCTGCACCACTTCGCAGCAGTGACGGGCGCCTGGCAGGCGATCCGGGGCTATCTCCGTCTGCCAGCCAGAGAGATGGGGGCCTGCCCTCCGCGTGTCCCCGGTGCTTAGCACGGCGCCGGGCACAGACACCCGGCGAACCGCGTCGCCCTGCACGGCAGAAGCCCGGCAGCAGCTCAAGGTCACAGACGTGGGAAGCGTGGTACACAGAATGAGGAAGTGCGGTGCCAGGACCTGTCCTCAGCGCTGCCCGGTGCCAGCCAGCGCCGTGCCACTCCAGGGACAAACCTCGCTAACAGCCAGACACTTTCGAGGGTGGACCCTCGCCAGACGGCCACCCGCCGGCAGCCCATCCGGCTCATCCGGCCCTGGGGGCCGCGCTCCGCATGCACCCTGGGCGGACCGTGCCCTTCCCGCCCCGCTCCCACCTCCCCTGGCGCCAAGTGCGTGTGTTTTCTTCAACGAGCCGCCCTCTGAGCTATCGGTGTCAGCGCCTCTTCCCCGCAGGGCAGTGCGGGAGGCGGGGAGTGGCCCTGGGCTGGAAGGACCCTGCACGGAGCCAGCACGCTCCTCCTGCCGGTGAACAGTCAGTCTGTCAGGCTCTGGGGCCAAGAGGCAGAGTTGAGGAAGTCCCGGAGGGACGCTCGCATCGTTTTCACAGACAGTCTTGTTCTTCTGACTTCTTTTCCCAAGCATTTCAACGTGTGAAACGACTGCCAGCTCCCAAACGGCACAAAAGCGGGCGGCAGGCCAGCTTGGCCTTCTGTGGAAAGTTTGCCAGCGCCTGTTTCAAAGCGGGCTCCTTAAGCTTCAGCGTGCGCAGAAACTGCTGGATGGGCTTAACATAGGTGTCTGGGTGAACCCTCTGCTTTTGAGTGAGCAGGTGGAGGGGGACCACTGAATTTGCATTTATTTCTGATGCTCCCTGTCCACCGACCACATTTTGAGTACTTATTTAAAAATAAGTATCCCATTTTATGAATGAGGACACTGTTCAAAGTGACGCCAGTGGAGGAGGTGATGGTGTCCATTCTGCCAAGCCCCCAGGGCTGTTTTGCCACAGAAAATTCCTCTCCATTCCCTGAACCCACCGAGCTCTCTCCTGCTTCTGAGCTTTTTGCTCATTTTTTTTTTCTCTCTCCCACTCCCGCCCTCACAAACGCAATTTCCCCATCGAGATCCCCTCCAATGTCCCCTCTTCAGAAGCATCCTTCTCTGACTGCACTCTGGACGTTCCTATGCGTAATGGTGTGTCTACAGCCTGTCTCTGAAGCCCTGGGCCGTGTCTCATTCCTCTTTGCATGTCCCTTTACCATGCTTGCCAGCAGGAGGCACCGCAGAAATGGGCACCGAACAAACGAATGCGTGCATGGACGGGCGGGTGAATGAATGGATACGTCATGATCTACTACTCCTTGAAAGTCACCTTCTTGGCAACGTGGAGCCCGGACCCCAATTCTCCTTGAGTGCAAGCTACCATCTGTCCCACGGCCGATGGGGAGCCTGGCAGGTGGGCAGGGGCAGGCACCTCCTGATGAGGGTGTGCTGGGTGTGTGTCCCGTCTTCTCCGCAGCCCTTTCTAACAAGCAAATGGGTCCTGGACAGGCAGAGTGGTTCGCCTGAGGTCACAGGATAGATAAGCCCTGGCCCCTCTGCTTCTGCCACAGGGCCCCTTGCTCCTCCGTCTCCCCCCCTCCCCCGTGCTCCTGCACCCAGGCCAGCGCCCCTCACCCAGGCCAGCGCCCCCCACCATGCCAGCGCCCCTCACCATGCCAGCGCCCCTCACCCATGCCAGCGCCCCTCACCCAGGCCAGCGCCCCCCACCATGCCAGCGCCCCTCAGGGCCTGGCCCACCCCCGCCGCAGCCCGGCGCTCACCTCCGTCGGCGTAGGTCTCGGTGCCGTAGCCATCCTGCAGGCCGTTGCTCCAGGTGCCCTCGTACTTGGCGCCGCTGCTGCTGCTCTGCCGGGTGCCGTAGCGGCCCTTGAAGCCGTGCGTCCACTCGCCCTTGTAGAGCCAGCGCCCCTTGGACTCTATGCCCAGCCCGTGCCGCTTGCCCTGCGCCCAGTACCCCTCGAAGGTGTTGCCGCTGGGCCAGGTGTACACGCCGGCCACCTCGAAGCCGAAGTTCCAGGAGCCCGAGTACTCGCCCTGGCCCTTGGGGCCGGTGCACAGCCCGTGGCCGTGCGCCTTGCCGTTCTCCCAGCCCCCGCAGTACGCCCCGCCATCGTCAAAGTCAAAGCGGCCGCCGCTCATCGCATCGCAGCCCCCGGCCGCCTGGCTGCCCTCCAGCTTGTCCGGCTCCGGGCTCCGGGCCGGGGCCCCTCACCACCGCCCACCCCGGCAGGCGGGGGGAAAGCCAGCTGCCGCCAGAGGCTGCGGGAGCCCAGGAACCAGGTGCCCGGCCGGGGCCATGCCTGGGGCCCTCAGGCAGCCAGGGGGAGGCTGCCCGCGGGGCAGGGCGCGGGAGGGAGAGAGGCAAGCCCTCCACGGAGCATCCCGGGCCCGGCTGCCATGGAGCCAGGGGAGAGACGCCGCGATCCCTTTAAGAAGCACCAGTGGCAGGGTGGGGTGGCGGGGTCCCCGGTCCCCGGTCCGGCTCAGAGCGGGCAGTCCCCTCGGCGGCAGCTGGATTCCTGCAGCCCGGCCCCTCTCTCTCCTCCAGCCGGGGTGGGTGCGGGCTGTGGCTCCCTGGAGGCCGCCCCGCCCCCGGCCGGCCCTGCCTCCTCCGGGACAGAGAGGTCAGTGTTGCCCTAACAAGGCCATCGGATCCCAGAAGCTGCTCCCAAAATAGCCCCCTGGCCGGCCGGCCGCCTCCTTCCCAGCGGGAGGGGCGGTCAGACGGCCGGTGCTCAGACCCGGGGCGGCTGGAGGGAGGAAGGGAGGCTGAGCGCAGAGTGTGGGCAGCCGGGCGCCCGGAGGGCTCCTCTCCCCCGGGAAGAGCCACGTCCAGCCCGGCCCCCTGGTCCCCCTGGGCCCGTGGGAGGAGCGGCGGATAGCGGGGAGGGAGGCAGGCGGCAGAACACGCCGTGCTGGCACTCAGCACGCCCAGGGCTGCGCACCAGTGCAGCCCCAGAAAGGAATCCGGTGACGCCAGGGGAAGGAATGGGCCTGGCTCCACAGGGGCTTTGGACGCAGAGACGTGAGGGTCTGGAGCGGCGTCGGGAGGTGCAGCAGGTCCGAGCCCAGAGCTCACGCACAGGCCCGAGCTCCCTGGGCCTGGGGACCCCGAGACCCCGTGCGGGGGCGGGGGGGACCCCCGTGCAAAGGCCGGCCACTCCCTCTGGCTCTCCCGCAGGGCAGGCACCGCCTTGTCTGCCCTCCGGCTCTGCCGCACAGAGCTGCCAGTGGTGCGGGAAGGAGTTCATCTCAGAAACGCTCAAGGATCGTGATCTTCTTTTTTAAAATTCTCTTTCCCAGCTCTTCTGCTCTGGCGTCCTGAGAGCCGGGGCAGCCAGATCCATCACGTTCCCGGCAGGTCAGGCTCCCAAGCTCCAGGGAGAGGGGCAGGTAGTAAATCTCCGGGACATGGAGCCGGGCCCAATGCCAGGGAACCCCAGCTGAGCCGGGTCAGCAGGAGTAGAGTGACTGCGAGGAAGGTGGCAGCCACCAAGAGCAGGAAGCTCATGTGTGTGAGGGGGTGTGGGAGGAGAGAGAGAGAGAGAGAGAGATGGGGGAGGGCAGGATAGAAACCATTGAGAAAGCAAGCACAGGAGGTTCCTGGGAACATCACACGATGATCTGATTTCAAACTTACCATGCCCAAACTGCAGGATGGCTTGGGCCACTTAAAATCACTGCAGAAGTTCTGTTCGTTTCAGAAACGGAGAGAAAATGCTTTCCCCCTTCCTCCCAGCGGATTCCTAGTTCTTAAGTCTTGGCTCTGTCACCATTCGCAGCCCCCTGCCCTGAAGGGCCCCCCCGTGTCCACGTTTCCCCCTCCCCAGTAGAAACACCAGCCTCTGCACGCACTGCCGCTGGCTGTCGGCCAGGCTGACAGGAAGAGCAGAAGATAGAGGCTGTGCGTGTCATCTGGGTCCTGTCTCGCCGCCCGCCAGGCTGGCTGACAGCCTGCGCTCACACCTCCCTGAGAACAACACCTCAAGGCTGTCCGCGGAGGGCTCTGCTTTTGCCACTTCTCACCTCAGTCCCTGGAGAACCCCACGTGTCTTTCGAGCTCGGCTCTCAAGGGGCGGGGAAAGGACATCTCAGACTGGAGCCCTCTGTAGTGAAACGCTGAGCAAATCACCATCACCCCGTCCTAAGGCTGCCTGGCTGCCGTGGCCAGAGGGCTGTGCACCTGCATACGTGTAGCCACTGCTCACCCGGGCGGCCCCCTGCAGGTTCCCTACCGAGGGCCCTGCACACAGCAGTCACCAGTAGAACCTAAAAACACGGATTCCAGACCTCACCCCCCAGCTACTGAATCCCATTGTCCTGGGAGGGAGCGGACAATTAAATTATTATTTTTTTAATCTATCTTATTGATGCTTTACAGAGAGGAAGAGAGAAGGATAGAGAGTTAGAAACATCAATGAGAGAGAATCATCAATCAGCTGCCTCCTGCACACCCCTACTGCGGATGTGCCCACAACCAAGGTACATGCCCTTGACCTGAATCGAACCTGGGACCTTCCAGTCTGCAGGCCCACGCTCTGTCCACTGAGCCAATCCGGTTTTGGCACAGTTAAATTCTTTTTAAAAGATCAGACAAATCTGACTCTCGCTTCTGGTTACCGCTGTCATGTTGTCAAATGAACAAACTGTTTCTTCATTTCCATACCAGTGTTCATGGATTTACTGACATAACATGGGCTATGTATGTTACCAAACGAAGGGCTCGCTGCCTGCGGCACTTTATGAAGAAATGAGGCACGGCTGTCCCAGGGAGTTTTGTTTACTTGCAGCAAGTGAAGAAGACGGGGGATTTATAGCCAAAGCTCTGTCTCCTGGAATGAGGGTTAGCCACCGCTCAGACACACGATTTGGTTACTTTCATATTGTTTTTTATTGTGTGTGTGTGTGTGTGTGTGTGTGTGCGCGCACACACAGTTTTTTGTTGTTGTTTTTGGGTGTGTTTTTTTGTTTTGTTTTGTCTTTGCAATTGGCTGCTTTCATCCTCTTGAGTTCTTGTCAGCTCATCCTGTTTACTGTTACATTTGCAAAACACTGTACGACATTTTAACATTAAGCAAGAAACAGCATTTATTAAGAATGGCCCAGCTCTCTTCCACGGCTCTGCCCACAGAGGTGGCAGCCATCTCTTACGTGGCACCCTGGCTGCCCTCAGACCCTCGTGAAACCCAAGATGGCCAAAAAGAGGACCAAGGAGTTCGCCCGGCACCAGTCAGACCGATTCGCCAACATGAAGCGGGCCTGGCGGGAACCCAGAGGCACTGACAACAGGGTGCGCAGACGGTTCCAGGGCACATCCTGAGCCCAGCATGGCTGTGGGAGCAGCGGGAACACAGAGCACGTGCTGCCCAGTGGCTTTTGGAAGTTTCCGGTCCACAACGCCAAGGAGCTTGACGCGCTGCGATGTGCAGTGACTCTCACTGTGCTGCTGAGACTGCTCACAGCGTCCCCCAAAGACCGGCCACACCACTGCGGGAGAGCACCCAGCGGGCCCTCAGCCACCAGTCCCAATGCAGGGCTGCGCAGCGAAGAGAGTGGATAGACAGGTTGTGTGCACATCGTATGTGTGTTAATAAAATCATAAAATTCTGCCATCTGGCATTAAAAAAAAAAGAATGGCCCAGACCTGCAGACCCTTGTCCTACCTCACACAGAGGGTAAACAATTGTGGCCTGAGATATCTGTTCAAATTCTAAGCTGTAGACATGGAGCCAACAATTTCTCTAAGCCTGTAATTTCTCTTCATCTGTAAAAGTGCCTTTCTCAAAGGGTTATTAATATTAAGGCTAACAGTATCTACCTTATATGACTGAATACTGTGTTTAAAAAGGCCTAGAACACACGACACAACCAATAAACGTTAGGTATTACTAATGTTATCGTCACCTGATGTTACTTTTCAAACTATTGTGCTTAATGAAATAGTCACCAAAGCGGGAAGCGACCACTCCCTAAATATTACTTACTTTGACATTGAAGTACTCCTTACTCTTCCCAATATGTGTTTACTCAGCATTACCCTGTGGTTTCTCATTTTTCAAACTGATAAACTATGTCACTGTTAAAGGGACACTTTGACTTCTTAAAAGTTTAAGTAATAAATTCTTTGCTAGTCTTTTCCCACACCCCCCACACTCCTTTCCCCCCGAGAATTGTCAGTCCACTCCCTTCCCATGCCCCGGATTCTGTTATATTCACCGGTTTACTCTGTTCCTCAGGTTTTCACAGGTTGAACTTCTGGATCCCACCACCACTTTTTGGCCCTGCCCTGAAACCAGTGCGGTTCAGGGAAAGGGAGACCTCTTGTGGCCAGAGGTGCATTCAAACAGCTTTTCCTTAGGAAAACCAGGTTCTTCCCACCAACTGGAATGCACGGAAACTTGGGGTGAATGTAAACTGTTGGAAAAAGCATCGGTCTCCTTCCTCTTTTCCCCAGGTCTTCGCTTGCTCCACGGCTCTTTGTCAGGTGGGGGAGTCGCTTGTGTCCTATGTTTCCTTCTCAACGTAAGCGCCACCGCAGCCTGGGAGCCTGGGGAGAAGGGAACCGGAAGTCCCGAACAGAAAGGGCTGCACCTGGAAACACACCGGAATTCTCAGCTGAAGAAGCCTCATCTCCCCAGACAAGGCTCCTGGCCAGCTCCACAGCACGGGGAGACCAGCCCGGCTTCAAGACAGCCATGGCCTCCGTGAGCCGAGGAACCCCCATCGCCCCCACCATGGGGCATCTCACAAGGGGGTGTCCTGCGACCCTCACCGCCCTGTCTCTGGGCTTTGAAATGGGGGGAGACCTGTGGTAAGTCCCCCAAGAAAACACTTTTCCATTCTGGGAACACTATCCTGCCCCCTCCGGGGTTACTTACTGGTCGCCGGGCCCTGAGGGCCAGTTTTTCGCCTCATTCCTGGGGAAGGCCCTTCCTGGAGGACAGGACCTTCTTGCTGGCATCCAGTCTGGAGACGGGGAGGTGGGGCATTTGTGTCCACTTGCGACCCTCGTCCTCATTTATGGGGCCCAGGGCCTCATCCACCGGACCACTTCCAGCTGTTGACCTGGCCCCGACCCCTTTCTGGCTGACCACCTGGCCCCTTTCTGGCTGACCACTTGGCCCCACCCCCTTGCTTATGTCACTGCTTCTGGCTGTTCACCTGTCCCTACCCACCCCCTTCTCTTGTTTAAGACTCAACTTCCAGCTGATGAAATGGCTCCACCTGCGTTTCTAACATAAAGGTAATTTGGCATGGGTCAGCATCTTACCCAGCCTGTTTATTCTATGCTTGCCTCCCCGCCTTGGTAACAGGATGCCATGCCTGTGCCTTCTGCATTTCCATCACTGCCACTCACCTGCCTGGCACTTAGGGACAATGTGACAGGTCGAGTAGAAAGCGGTGCTTCCTGGCCCTGGAGCTGCCCGTCTCCCTGCGGGAGGCTCAGGAGAATGAACCTCAGTCCTGGACATCCTTCGGGACAACCTGTCCCCAGAGCTCACAACGCTGGCAGGTTTGCACAGCACTTGGGGGTTTAGACGTGAGAATCGTTTTCTCGGTAACTGCCGTGTAATTTTTATTTTAAACCCTCAGTATTCCACAGGGAAGAACACACTCCTGTCCTAAGCCTGCACTGAGCAACTGAGCACCTTTCAGCCACTGCCCTGCCAGCCTTCCGGGGGGGGGGGGGGGGGGGCGCGGTGAGGCTGTGGGACCTGGGGCAACAGCTGTAATGGACCTTCTTACCCAGGGGCCCGGGAGTGGTCAGTGCTGTCCCCACAGGAGGGTCCAGGCTGGAGCTCAGAGCGGAAGCCAGGGCCTGAGGCTGGGAGGAAGTGAGAATCCCAGGACCAGGAGAGGCCCACTGTTTTG